AGAATGAATGTAAAACTAATGTTCTCCCATAATTCACAAGAAAACATTTAAGAAAAAAAAATAGCATAGTATAACAGTTGTTAAGTGTCATCAAGTCGGTTCCAATTCATAGCGACTCTGTGCAGGGTTTCCGAAGCTGCAAACCTTTACAGAAGCAGAAAGCATCATCCTTCTCCTACAGAATGGCTGGTAGTTTTAACCTGCTGACCTTGAGATTAGAAGCCTTACTCAGTGCTTTATTAGCACATTAAATAGCAAGACTCCACAGCTGATATGGAGACCCTAGGTATTACAAGCAGTTAAAGCACTTGGCAGCTAACTGAAAGGTTGGAGGATCAAGTTCACCTAAAAGTGCCTCAGAAGCTAGGCATGGCAGTCTACTTCCTCAAAACCAGTCATTGAAAACCCTAAAGAGCACAGTTCTACTCTGACACACATGGTGTCACCTTGAGTCAGAATGAACTCCACAGAGGCTAGTTTTATGTGCATGTGTGTGGCAAATCTATTAACTACCATAATTGTGAAGTCGTGCTGAACATAAGTTGTATTTTGAGATGCATGATTCACCTTCAATGTGATATGAAAATACCTGTGATCTCTCCTGGTGACAAAGTCATACATTCTGTTAATATTACTGTGGCATGTTGCCTTATATTCGTAATGGAAGGAAATGCTAAATTTCAGTTAAAGGTTGATAAAGACAAAAGTGTAAGTCTTTAGCCTCAATGGCTTGATGATCAGAACTCAACTAGAGGATGCTAAAAAAAATAATAATTTTTGATAAAGGAAACAAGTGTAAATTGCTACAATTTGATGAACTTGACCTGGACTTATGGATGGATGTAGTAGCTCAAAATACCAACTGAGAGGGAAGGAGTCTTCACATCAAGTATTAATCCTATCCCCTCTATTTACAGGGCTGATAGGGACGGGAGACTTAAACATTGGCTACCTAAAATGAGGGGATGATAAAGGCTCTGACTCATATGCACAACCAAATGAAACACTGCCCAGTCCTGTGCAATCCTCAATTGTTTTTATCTTTGAGCCCAATGCTACTGCGACTGTGACAATCGATTTTGTCAGGCATCTTCCTCTTTTTTACTGACCATCCATTCTACCAAGTCCTTCTTCAGGGACTGGTCCCTCCTGATAATAAGTCTGAATTATGAGAAACAAAGTCTCACCATCTTCTCTTCTAAAGAGGACTCTGGCTGTACTTGCAATGAAGATTTGTTTGTTCTTGTGGCATGCTTTCAGCGTACTTCCCAATACCATAACTCAAATAAGTCAATCCTTCTGTGGTCTTCATTACTTAATGTCCAATTTTCACATGCATATATGGCTATTGAAAATACCCTGGATTGAGTCAGGCACACCTTAGTGCTCAGAGTAACATCTTACCTCTTGAGTATCGACGGTGGATCCAAGCAAAATGAAGTCTTTCACAACTTCAATCTTTTCTCCATTTATCATGATGTCACTTATTGGTCTAGTTATGATGACTTTTCCCCCTTTACATTGAGGTGCAATTCATACTGAAGACTGTGGTCTTTGATTTTAATCTGTAAGTATTTTAAGTCCTTTTCACTTCCAGCAAGCAAATTTGTATCATCTGCATATCACAGGTTGCTAATGAGTTTTCCTCCAGCTTCACAGATTATTTGCTCAGTGTACAGACTGACTAAGTATGGTGAAAGGATACAACCCTGGCAAACATCTTTTCTGACTTTAACCCATTCGGTATCCCCTTGTTCTGTTCTAACAACTGCCTCTTGGTCTATGTACAGGTTCCTCATATGTACAATTAAGTGTTCTGGAATACCCACTCTTCACAAAGTTATCCAAAGTTTGTCATGTTCGACAGGGTCAAAAGCCTTTGCATGGTTAATAAAGCACAAGTAAATATTTTTCTGGTATTCTCTATTTTCAGCGAAGATCCATTTGATGTCAGCAATAATATCCCTTGTTCCACGTCCTCTTCTGAACCCAACTTTAAGTTCTGGAAGTTCCCTATCACTGTATCATTGCAGCTGTTTTTTAATTATCTTCAACAGAATTTTACTTGCATGCTATATTAATAATATTGTCCATTGATTTCTGCATTCCATTTAGTCATCTCTGTTTGATATGGGCACAAATATAGATTTCTTCAAATCAGCTGTCCAGGTGATTTGACAAATTTCTTTTGTCTCCAGTGCTTCATCAGTTTGTTGAAAGATTTTAGTTTATATTCCATCAATTTCTAGAGCCTTATTTTGCCAATGCCTTCAGTGCAACTTGAATTCTTACTTCAGTACCATAAGATCTTGATCATATGCTACGTCTTGAAACGCTTGAACATCGACTATTTCTTTTTGATACAGTAATTATGTATATACCTTCTATCTTCTTTTGATGCTTTCTGTATCATTCAATATTTTGCTCATAGAATCCTTCAATATTGCAAGGAGAGGCTTGAATTATTTTCTTCAGTTCTTAAAGCTTGATAAATGCCGAGCATGTTCATTCATTTTGGTTTTGTAACTTCAGGTCTTTGCACATTTCCTTATTATACAGCCCGTGTTGTTGTTGTTGTTAAGTGCCATTGAGTTGGTTCTGACTCATAGCAAACCTGTATAGGATTTCCAGGGAGCAGTTGGGTAGGTTTGAACAGCTGACCTTGCAGTTCAAATAGACCTTTTGGTCCAGTGATTATCCTACAGTGCTATACCAGGACTCCAACTATACAGCCCTGTTGTTGTTGTTAAGTGCCACTGAGTCAATTCTGACCCATAGCGACCCTGTGCAGGGTTTCCCAGAAGCAGCTGGTGAGCTTGAACTGCCAACCTTGCAGTTCAAATGGCTTTGCAGCCTGGCGCATTAGTAAACTAATATATAGTTATAGAAAAAGTGCAATACGTTTAATCAAAGCTTTAACTTCTTCAAGATTTTTGGACTCTCATGGAGGAATGGGCAGGAAGATTTTGGGCTCTTAATTATTATAAAAAGAGCTTATTTCAATGTTTTAACTACTCTACAGAACCTAATTCCTTCAGATACACTGAAGATTTTTGTAACATGAGAAAAAAATCTTGTGACAAGTTTTCTCCTGAAGTAGAATAAACATGAGATTCTGCTTGTAGTTTTGGAAACCATTTTGTTGCTGTTGTTAGGTGCTGTGGAGTTAGTTCTGACTCGTAGCCACACCTCTCCGTACTGCAAAAGCCAACCCTGACTGATCCTTCTCCATCTTCACAATCTTTCCTATGTTTCAGTTAGCATTACAGCAGTCACTGTGTCAATCCAGGTTGTTGAGGATACAAGATACACAAGCTACATGCTACACAAATGACAGTGACTGAGGAGCGGACTGTGATTACGTATGCTCCTTTCTTCAGGGGTGGGGTGAAATAAACAAATATACAAAGGGACTTCAAAAATTCATGGGGAAATGGTATTAAAAGATAATGAAAATATTCTACAGACTTTTTGAATCCTCTTCATATTGAATAATCAGCACAATACAGCCAATAACCAATCAGAATGAGTGGTAAAACCAATCAGAAAGATGCTGTGGCCATTCAGAACAGATGATGGAATAAATCAGAATGGATGTTGCAACCAATCAGAATGATGCTCTGACTATTCAGAACAGATGATACAGCCAATCACAATGGATGTTACAATCAATTATAACGATGCTCTGATCATTTAGATGATACAAGTAATTGGGATGGATGCTAGCTGAATCACAAAGAAAATCATGCAATGGGAACCAGTGAAAGATCAGCTCTCTCTACAACCAAAGTGAAATCCATTTGAAGTTAAAATTACTCAACTTCCTCACACAAAAATGAAACTTTATTTCAAGAAATTCAAGTTATTTTGGAGGACATGATGGAAAACTTTAACTTTCCAAATCTCCCTCTTCTCCAAGCCATGTGGAGGCAAATTCCCAGTAAGAATGATCTGAGAGATGCATTATAATTAAGGAATTTTTGTTATGATTGTGTCAGTTCCAATTCATAGCAACTCTGTGTATGTAGAATTTCCAAGGAGTGGCTGGTGGGCTGGAACAACCAACCTTGTAGTCAGAAGTCTAGGGTTTTTAGCCTTCAGTGCCATCCCAGGCCCTCATAAATAAGTAATAGCTAACATTTATTGAGCAATTATGTGCTAGGAACTGTACATGTATTATCTTGTATGACCTTCCTTAATATTACAACAATGCTATGAGTTGGATACTAACATTGTCTTTGATTTACCTATGAGAAAACTGAGGTCTAGACAAGTTCACTAGCTTGCTTGAGGTCATACCAAGAATACATACTAGCTCTTAAACTCAAACTTGGGCAGTCCTTTCTCTTAATTACTAGTTTTGACCTTATTATCAAATGGACATTCACATCAAAATCTTATTAGCCGATTCCATCATCACATCAGACGAAATGGCAAAGTGTCACAGATGTTTCGTAACAATTGGGCTATTGCTGGGAACTCATGAAGTCACCAGCCACTGTCTCCAGTGCAGTCACAGTTTCCCCATTTCTGATCTATATGGCTTCAAACAAATTCAAAACAGTCAAGGAGAACAGAAAAGATACAAGAATATTACCTTATTCTCTTATCCTCCACTTTTTTCAAATATTCATCTCTCTTTAGAACTCCTAGGATCATTTCCTTCTCATGATCTAATAAAAATGATAGATTGATGAACTCCGAGTTCTTAGACATGGTATTTCAGCAACAGTTCTGTATAGCTATGATTGAATGTTCCAGAAAGTGAATCGATAGTCACAATTTTTTAAGTCCTGCTGATCAATTCAGGGTCACTCAATGTCTCACTGTCAAGTGGTTCTTATAAGATCTCTGCAGAATTGCCTATGGTGGTTAGGTACTTTTTCAGGCTCCACAAAAAACAGGCTCCACTGGGCTTACATTCCAAGAAGGTCATTATTGTTTTAACTGAAAAAAGTCTCCAAAGCCTTTGTTGTAGCGTGGAGTCAGATAGCAGCCGAGTTTCACTAATAACGTTCAATTTTAATCCTTCTGAAAGCTATAGAGCAGGAATCGATCTGCTGAGTCACAATCCTGAAAACACAAGAAAGGATAGACAACAAAGGAGAGAAAAATGAATTAGGTCATTACCCCCAGATCACTGGTAATGGTAAAAGTGCCTAATTTTTGAAGCAGTGATATACAAAACTCAGCAAAACCCAAATATTTTCCATCAGTAAACATGCTTTTATTAAATACTTACTTTGTGCTTATTACCATGAAACATTATATATTAGTTGATTCCATGTTAAATATCAACCTAAACAAATTTCACAAACAGTGTTGAGTGAAAAATCAAGTTACAAAAGGAATCATACATTATTAATATATGAGGATGAGTGAAAAATTATCCATACTCTGGCTGTAGACTGGAAGATTCGAACTGCTGACCTTGTGGTTAGCAGCCTAGCTCATAATCCATTATGTTACAAGGGCTCCTTTGAATTATTCTCTGTATGTATTGTTGTTGTTATGTGCCGTGGAGTTGGTTCTGACCCATAGAGACCCTGTATAGGGTTTTCAAGGAGCAGCTGGTAAGCTTGAACCACCGACCTTGTGGTTTAAACCACTTTGCCCTCCAATACATTAGCCCACAGCACTACAATATTGAAAGTCATATTCACCAGACCCTGCTTCTTATCCTAATTCTTGAACACATTCTTTCCTTGGCCTGACACCTAAATTCTGTCTGTCCAACTCCTTTAGAATGACTCCTTGGGTGATCTATGTGGTTTTGTGATTTGCCATCATCTGTGACACTGTCCTACAACTTTTCCCCAGCTCTATGAACTACAAAAGGAGCTCTGGTAGCGTAGTGGCTACCAGTTGGGCTGGTAAACTCAAGATCAGCATTGTGCTTTCTACTCTCATAAATATTTACAACCTCGGAAACCCTACTCAGGGTCACCATGAGTTGGAACTGACTCCAAGGCACATAACCACCATGAACTACAAGCTACATACTGTTCCACTTGGTTTGATGGGCTTGCAGACATAACTAGGTACATACTCAAAGACTGCTTTGAAGACTCCCAATAGTCAGCAAGTTAGACTGACCTCAAAATATCAAGAGTTCTAAAAGGATGGGATCTTATCCAGAGTCTTTCCAACTTTCCAAAACTCCCATGGGTTTGTTCTATACATTGTGCACAAAACCCAGAAGTTTGCTGAAATCACTCAGAACTCTGCACTGACTCAGGTCAATGCAGACTCTTGGGATTTATGCCAGGCCTTTCTTCCATCTTCAAAGCCCTAGACACAGCATGGATCAGAGGGATCCAAGGTTGGCATGAACAGGAAGCAACAGGGTTAAAAGCAAAAGAGAAATTTCAGACAGCTTAAGGCCCTTTTCCTGCATTGGTTTTTGGATCACTGTCAACTATGGAATAGTCAGGTACACAACACAGTTGTTTTTCATGTCTTTGTGTGTCGCATCTGATTTCATGCTGAAAAACTAATTTGGTAACCCAGTGAATGGATATCATCACATTACAGCCAGGTTTACTTAAGACATATTTTGCATTTAAAGTGTCAGATATTTAGAATGTGCCATGTTTATAGAATTGTGTTTAGAAAGTATTCAAGGGATTGGAGACTGTAAAAATGCTTGACCTAAAATGTATGGTTATCCATATTTAAGCTGTAAATGTAAGTATGCTCTCTAAAATCCCAAGGTTCTATCCTATGAGTGGAATAAAGTGAGAACGATGAGACCCTATGAAACTCGGGTTGTGCAGTGGTTAAAGCGCTACTCCCCATTTGTGTTACAAAACTTCTATCTTTACAGTTGCAACAGTCACAATTAGTCATGATAACAATTACTCACTATCAAATCATCAGAATCTTATCCCCATCTCTTTTCACCAGAACCATCTAGGCAAGATGAAAACTGTTCAGTGGGGACTTTACCTTACCTCACAAACTCTGAAACGAAACTCCTCTTGAAATCTTGTTAGCCAGTATAAGACTTAATTTTTTACTTCTGATCTTCAGACACTAAACTTGTGGTGATTTGTTACATCGTCAACAGGAAAATAATACATTAGCTGTACATTTCCATATCTACCTCTACTTTTCCCCTGGTAGCACTCTCTACCTGGGATACACTAACACTGTGCTATTCAACGTGGGGCCTGCAGACAGATGCTGATGTATAAAGGGTTGGTGGTGGTTGTGTGCTGTCAGTCGGTTCCAACTCATAGCAATCCTATATAGGTTTCCAAGGTTGTAAATTTTTACAGGCACAGAAAGCCTCAAATTTTTCCCTTGGAGTGGCTGGTAGGTTCAAATTGCTAACCTTGCAGTTAGCAGCCCAATTCGTAACTCACTACACTACTAAGGCTCCTTCTGTAAATGGTTACTGGTCTGAAACTATATTAAGTACAGAAATTGCACGCTTAGAAACTTTTTTATAGCAATTTAACAAAATAGTTTTGTATCTGTTGAATCTAAAGTTAATATTTGTTGGTGGTGGTAAGTGCCGATGAGTTAGTTGTTTCTGACTCATAGCAACCCTGTATAGTGTTTCCTAGGAGCAGCTGGTGAGCCACCACCTTTTTGATTCAAACCAACCTTGAGGGTCCAGCGCATTATTCCACAGCACCACACTAGGACTCCAATGTTAATTAGGACTTATAGTCTATATGCCTTTTATATTTCATTCATCTAGTAACTTATTTTAAATATATTTCACAAAAGTATCAGTCTGGAATGAATTGAAAATTATAAAACAAAACCAACCTGATCTTTCCCACAGATATTTTCAGTTGCCGGGTGCTGAATATGGTGTGAAACAAACACTCCCAAATTTCAGTAGCACAAAACAGTAAACATTTATTTCTTGGTCATTCAAAATATCCCTTAAGGATCCAGACCCACCGAGCAGCCACCATCTTGAACATTGCCAGCTTTTTTTTTTATTATTTATTTTTTTATCAGAAGAGCAAAGGGAGCTCCAGTAGGTCTCACACTAGAAATTAAATACCTTGGCCTGGAAATGAAAAGTATTACTTCTACTTGAAACTCATTCGCCAAAAAACCCCTTCTAAGACTAAGACTCAATGGGAATACACGCTTTGATTGGAGACCACGTTCGTCACCGACAAGGGGAAGTGAGGTAAAAACAGCAATGATGCTGCAAGCTAAGCCCTACAACGTTCAATAGACTCCTGTGAACCCGGGTGGAGACCTGGTTGGCCAGCAGTGTGGCAAGACCCGGAGACTCTTGGGCCCAGAGTCAGTGACATAGCCACAGAAGACAAGAGTGGAGAGTGAAGCATCCAGCTGATAAGAAGAGAGGGCATAATCATAAGAACACCCACACTTGAAGATAATACCCACTTGACCTGGCTTCAATGACTGGATGATCAGAGCTCAACTAGAAGGAAAAAGAAGAGGAAAAAAAGAGTAATCTGATACAATTTGATGAACTTGACCTACATTTATCGATGCAGTAGCTCAAAAGAAGGAACAAATCTTTAAGCGAGGATCATTTCCACCCCCTCCATACACAGAGCAGACAGGGATGGGCAACTTGGACATTGGCTACCCAAAATGGGGGCTACAAAGGCAGGAAGTGACTGGCTTACAAGCTTTCAAGAGGGAACCTAGATCTCGAGGGCATGGAGGAAGGTAGACTCTCCACTGAGTAGTAGCTAATCTGTCTGGGTGGGGCTGATGAAAGGAGATGTGACTAGGTCTCTTGTGCTACAATAGTGAATAATTGTTATCAGGACTGCTTGTGAAGGTTGGAAATGTAAAGGTAGACATTGTGTAGCAAAAGGAGGGTAGTGATTAACTTTGCAGTCTAGGAGCGGAGATCCCTGGGACCATGAAGGGAAAAGAACAGAGAGCAGGCCCCTACCCAGAGAAGCAGTGATGCCTGAGATGGAGGCAGAGATGATGACATGGAGAGATGGAGTGGCTGGGGACTTTAGACCCAGAAAGGGAGAGGGGCTGTGTGCTGATGACTGGGGGCAGGTTTGTAGGATATACCCTTTGGTTGGTTGATGATGCATGAAGGGGATTGTAACCATGGCAATGAAACGGTATATGATAGGATGAATGTAAAGCTAATGTTCTCCCACATAATTCACAATAAAACATTAAAAAAAAAAACAAAAAACAAAAACACTCATTAGCCAAAGCTGGTCACATGGCTTTACTCAATCAGAAGTGGACCAGGAAGTGCTATCATACCTGCTCACAAAAGAACCAGAATTATTTGGTGAACAATTCTAAACACTCACCATACGTATTTAATGTTGGTCTTCCCTGCTAGCCATTAAACTCTATAGAGGACCTTGTTTTGTCATAATCACCATTGCATTCCCAGCATCTTCATAGTTCCTGGAATCAGTTGTTGGTGATGTTGTTAAATGCTGCCGAGTCAGTTCCAACTCATAGTAATGCTTTATAGGGTTTTCGATGAGCAATTGGTGGGTTTGAACCGCCGACCTTGTGGTTCACAGTCCAGTGCTAATCCTATAGCACCACACCAGGAGTACTAATAGGTGTTCAAAAATGTTTGCCAAATGAATATTTCATAAATGAGATGAGAAACAAAATATTCAAAAAATAATGCCAAGAATGAAAATTGGGAATATAGCTTAGGATGGTTTGATGGCCTCTGTCAAAATAGAGTGGGGAAAAAAGAAGATACACTCTGGAAAGTTGCT